GCAGCAGCAATACCCAGGCCACTAGCACTCTCAGCAGGAAGACTCCAGGGTCCTCCAAACCCACAAGTACCCCAACACTGGTCCTGCAGGTCCTGATTGGAGTCCCCAGACAGAGGGTCTTGTGGTGGTAAACCTGCTGGCACCCAGGTCCCAGGCCCTGGCTGGTATCCCAAAATGGGTGCAGCCACATGCAACCAAACCTGGAATCTCCCCTGCAGCAGTCCTCTAGGCCGTGGTAGCAGCAGTAGTGGCGGCTGCATTGGCAGTTACAACTGCAGCTGTGGGAGCAGCGTCACCAGGTGATCTCCAGGGGTCAACAGCAATGTGGGCTTCAGTTGCATCCACAGTTTCTTCTGTGGCAGCAGCACCCAGAAAGAACACCTCCAGGTGATCTCAGTCTAGCAGTAGAGAAATCAGAGGCAGCAGCAATAGCGGTAGTGGTGCAGGTGGCGGTTGAGTAACAGGAGACTTCCGGTTCAGCGGCAGTGACCATGGAGGTAGCATCAGAATCGAGTCAGGGGTAACCAGGTAGTGCCCAGAAAAGAGACCTCTGGACACAGCAGTGGCTTCTGCAGCAGCCCAGAAAGAAAACCTCCAGAGGACCTCAGGCTGGCAGCAGTAGAATCAGAGGCAGCAGCAATTGACACATGGGTTTTTATTCTGCCATAAAGAAGAATGAAATTATGGCATTTGCTGGTAAATGGATGGAAATGGAAAATATCATGTTAAGTGAAATAAGACATATTCAGAAAGCCAAGGGTCCAATGTTTTCTCTTGTGTGTGGAAGCTTGAGCAAAATAAGAGGGAAACAGGCAGAGGGAGCCCATGAAAATAAAAAGGGTAGGATAGGTAGGGGGCAGATGGGAAGGAAGGAGGAAGAGGGAAAGAGGGAACTGCAAAGTGCACCTGGCCAAATCGTGCTGTGCACATATAGGAATATACCACAGTGACTTTCACCATTGTGTGTATCTATAAAGCAGGAATTAAAACAATAGGTAAATAGAAGGAAGACCAGTAGAGAAGAGGAAGGGGTCAGGGGGAGGGAGGAAGAAAAGGAAAGGAGAAGTACTGGGAATTGAAATGGAGCACATTAATTCCATGCATGTTTGGTTGTGTCAAAATGAATTGCAATATTATGTATGTGATAATACACTAATAAAAATATGTAAAAAAAAGAAAAAGCATTCTGGGCTGGGGTTGTTGCTCAGTGGTAGAGTGCTCGCTTCACACATGTGAGGCCCTTGTTTGATCCCCAGCACCACATTAAAAATAAATAAACAAAAAAAGATATTGTATACAACTAAGAAATATATTTTTTTATAAAGCATTCTTTGTGTAAAGAACAGGAAAACAGTTTCTTATCAGATAAATCTCTGTGAAACAGCCTCTTACCAGAGAAATTTCTTGCAAATGTCTTCTTTTAGGCATAGCTTATCTTTTCTTTCTGTAGATATTATTTTTCACAGAGCAGGAATTTTAATTTTAATGGGGTGTATTGTATCAATCTCTTTCTCATTGATCATACCTTTGATATAGTATCAAAAAAGTCATAGCCAAATCCAACGTCATCTAGATTTTCTCCTTCTATCTTGTCCAATTTTTCTAGTTTTATGTTTTACATTTAGATCTATGATCCATTTTAAATTAATGTTTGTGAAGGGCATAGATTCATTATTTTATGTGGGTATGTCCAGTGTTCTAACAGCATTTGTGGAAAAGGCTATCTTTTCTCTATTGTGTTGCTGTCAATCCTTTGTCGAAGATCAGTTGACTACATAGTTATTGCTTGGTCTGTAGGGATTTGATACTAGTATCTTCCAGAGACCTACATCTGTGGAAGGTCAAAATCTCTTAATTAAAATTCCCTGGTATACAGCCTAAGCTCTCATATACTTTACATCATCTCTTGATTATGTTTAGTGCCTGACAAAATGTAAGTGCTATGTAATTGAAACTGGAGTTTGAAATGAAACCAGATTCTCCACTCTGCTGGTCTGTAGGTCCACATAAGTTACATGCCTCTGCAGCTGAGAGAGCCCATTTTAGTATTGCAACTAATCACAGCAGGGAAATGCCTGTCTGGTCAGCTCCATGGGTCAGAGCTGGCAGAACCTGACTCTCTTCACTATTACTGAGCAGTGTGTTGTAGCTCTCAATGGCAGACCTCAGCAGCTGGCTGCCATTTTTTTTCCCCAAGGTCTCATTCACAGATTTGAAGACAAATCCACAGACAACAGAAGGCAAGAGTGAAGGTGTAGTATTTATATAACTGAAAAGAAAAGAAGCAGAACTCTCAGGGGCTGAGAGGGGAACCTGAGAGTAGGTTTCCCCTTAAGTGTACTAGTCTAGGGACTTAAATAGCTACTGGATGAGGCATTCATCAATATCTGTGCTAATCAGGTCTTGGAAAGATACTAAGGGTGTTGGTCAGTATCTATGCTAATCATGTCTCGAAAAAGTGCCAATACTATTGGTCAACACCTATGCTAAACAAGTATTGGAACAGTGCCAAGGCTCATGGTTTGGTCTGTGACATTCTGATTAGTTAGGCCTTGAGTCTGTAGTCTTCACTCAGGTCGGCTCTACCTCCTTTTTCCTGCCACCCGGGACAAAGAAGTTGGCTGTAATGTTTGGAATGTTTTCTATAGGTTAGTTTTGTGAAATAGCCTCTTCATTTAAAGTCTCTCTTCTTTTTTTTTTTTTTTTTTTTTTTTTTTGGTATGGTGGAGTGCATTTTCTTAACTGTCTGCCTGTTTTACTATCTATCCTATCTTATAATTACTTTTGTACTGTATTGATTTGGACATAAGCACAAAAAAAATACATGTTTAATACAGATGTAATTTTTTTCTATTGTATTTTCTATCCATGGTTGCTTGAATTCACAAATATAGAGGGCCAACTTTACTTATGTAGATCTGTGTCTGTGCTCTCTACTCTGTTTCATTGATATATTTGGATATGACTTTTGGTGAAATCCTGTTGAGCCTGATAAAATAAAGGTATTGTGTCCAACTACAACTAAAAAAATATTTAAAAAAATAAAATATATTCTGGCTGTGTCAGATCAGCTTATAATTATATTGAGGTTCCACTATGAATGTAAGTCAATCTTTTTTATTTTAATAATTTTTTACACCTTTATTTTATTTATTTATTTTTATGTAGTGCTGAGGATCAATCTCAGCACCTTGCACATGCTAGGCAAGTACTCTACCACTGAACTATAATCCCAGCCCGATCAATCTTTCTTTCTTTGTCTTTTTTGGGCTGGGAATTGAACACCTAGGGGTACTTTACCCCGAGCTATGTCCCCAATCCTTTAAAATTTTGTTTTTCTTTGCTTTGAAACAGGATCTTGTTAAGTTGCTGAGGTTGGCCTTGACTTCATGATCCTCCAGCCTCCCAATCCCACCCTGGGATTATAGGCTTGTGTCACCATGTCTGATTCAGATCAGTTCTTCACATTAGAGGCTGCCTTTCTTCCCACATCTCAGCTTTTTCTTTAACGTTCTCTATTTTTATTTTCTTTCTTCCTTCCTCTCCCTCCCTCCTTTGCCTTTTTTTTTTCTTCAATGGATTTGACATTTTGTTTCAGTTAAACTCATCCTTCTCTGTCTTTAGAGTATCAGAAGACCAAAGGTTGACCCAATCTTATGGAAAGATATTTGTGATTCTTCATTGCTTTCCCTCATGATATTCCTTTCCTCATGTACAGGGTATCCACTACTCACACCCAATCTGATCTCCCAGTGGGAACAAGAGGACGAACTGCAGATAGTGAAGACAGAACTTATCCAGGGCACCTGTACGGAGCAGCACCAGGAAGGCAAGAATCCCTGGGAGAAACTGGCCTAGGAGGAGAAAAAAATAAAATAGAAATAAAGCAAAAGTTTGTTTTGTCTGAGGAGGCTCATTATCCACAGATGCCTCAGAGGACTATTTTGACTGTTTATCTGTCCTCTCATACTTTCCTTGTTCTTGGCAAAGATCTCCATATTTGCTTTTTTTTAAGTTTGCTTTTGGTATGTGTATTTTATCCTTTCTGTTTTCCTCTCCTAATAATTTTTTTAAAAATTATTAATGAAAATTTTTAATATATTTTCTATGCTAATATGAAATACTAATATGAAATATCAAGTTAACAGAAAAATTTTAACATAACCTTTCTTTTAAAAAAAAAATATTTATTCTAATTTGTTATACATGATAGCAGAATGCATTTTGATTCATTTGGAGCACAATTTTTCATGTCTCTCGTCCCAATAATTTCTACTGGTCATGTTACTATCACTGTCATCTTCATAGAACTATTTTTTATTTTTCAGCACTGGGGGACTACTGAGCTATATCCCATATCCTTTTTAATTTTGAGTCTGAGTCTAAGTTGTTGAGGCTGTCCTTGAACTTGTGAACCTCCTACCTCAGCCTCCCAAGTAGCTGAGATTACAAGCATGCGTTACCATACTATGGTAATGTTACCATACTATGGTTTCATGGAAATATTTTTTAGTGAACTGTTTTAGTTTTGACCCTTGTGCCTATTAATAATGAAGTCCTGAAACAGCTGCACTGCTCAAACTCCTTTGCTCATAGGTAACTTTATTTTGTTTTATTTATTTATTTTTTTTTTTGTTTCAGGTTTTGAGTCTCTACTTAATACTAAGGAATTAGTTGCTCTTCAAGATAACAATGGAGAAAAAATATCCAATAAACAGAAAATAGTGAGATTCAAAAGAAATGGTTCCTGCTCCTCTATTTTACATGAAAACCAGGACTCCCATGGTGTGGATGATTGGAACAAAAGCCATGAGAAAGGTTTAAGGTGAGTGCCCTTCATATAAGACAAGGTAGTGCATCAGGAAACAATTTTGAGATTTACGAAACATATTTTGGGGCTGGGGTTGAGGCTCAGTGGCAGGCAGAGTGCTTGCCTCCCACATATGAGGACTGGGTTCAATCCTCAGCATCACATAAAAATGAATAAACGAAATAAAGATATTGCATCCATCTATAACTAAAAAATATTTTTTTAAAAGAAACATATTTTCAACATAAACCTAGGTCAAGAATTATGCTTTCATAAGAATGAAATCATGGTATTTGCCAGTAAATGGATGAAGCTGGTGCAAAGAACCAAAGGCCAAGTGTTTTCTCTGATAGGTGGATGCTAATTCACAATGGAGGGAGGGGGGGATTGGGAAGAATAGAGGTACTTTGAATTAGAGGGGAATGAGGTGAAAGGAGGGGGTGTGGGAATAATAGTAGAATGAATTGGACATTATTATCCCATGTGCATATATGATTACATGACCAGTGTAACTCTACATCCTGTATAAACAGAAGAATGAGAAATTATACTCCATTTATGTATGATGTGTCAAAATGCATTCTGCTATCATGTATAACTAATGGAATACATGCAAATAAAAAATAAATTTAAAAAAAGAAATAAAAGGATTCAAATTCAAAATTTAAAAGAAAATGTACTTTCACAAAGAATTTCGTCTAGAGAGTTTTTCCTACAAATGATACTGAGATATTGAAGGTTTGACACATAGATTGGTTTGACAGAATTATCAGAAAAATCATATAAGTCAAAAGCTGAGTGACAATGTTGGCTGTGGAAGAGCCTTCTTGAGAACTTTTAGCTTATAAGTTGATGGGGCAGAAAGCATACATATTTACTGAAAATGGTAAATTTTATTACTAATAATCTGTCTTTTATTTTTAAAAGTCATGTGGTAGAGAACATCTGTGAATACAATGAAGAAAATCAATGTGGACAAATTTCAAATCTTATGCTCCAGAGAACTACTGAAGTCAAATCCTTTGAATGCTATGAGTGTGGAAAGTCCTTCCTGTTTCATTCATCACTTAAGAATCACACCAGATCTCATGCTGGAAACAAACCCTATCAGTGTAAGGAATGTGGGAAAGCCTTCCATTTTCTTTCTTGTTTTAAAAAGCATATGAAAACTCCTACAGAAGAAAAACCATATGAATGTAAGGAATGTATAAAGGCCTTCAGTTGTTTCTCCATGTTCAGAGCACATATGAAAATTCATAGTAAAAAGGCAAAGTATGAATGTAAGGAATGTGGGAAAACATTCAGTAGTTCTTTCCACCTCACAGAACACAAAAGAATTCACAGTGGAGATAAGCCCTATGAATGTAAGGAATGTGGGAAGGCCTTTAGTTGTTCCTCATCACTTTCCAAACACAAAAGAATTCATAGTGGAGATAAGCCATATGAATGTAAGGAATGTGGGAAGGCCTTTAGCTATTCCTCTCATCTTATAAGACATATAAGAATTCACACAGGAGAAAAGCCTTATGAATGTAAAGAGTGTGGGAAGGCCTTCAGTGAATCCTCAAAACTCACTATACATGTGAGGACACACACCGGAGAGGAGCCCTATAAATGTAAGGAATGTGGGAAAGCCTACAATTGCCCCTCCTCCTTAAGTATCCACATGAGAAAACACACTGGAGAGAAACCTTTTGAATGTCTGGAATGTGGAAAAGCCTTTTATCTTTCCACTTCCCTGATCACACATGTGAACAATCAAAGTAGAGAGAAACCCTATGCATGTAAGGAATGTGGGAAGGCCTTCAGTTGTCCCTCATCCTTTAAAACACACTTGAGAGATCACAGTGGTAAGGTGCAACATGAATGTAAGGAGTGTGGGAAGGCCTTTAGTCGTTCCTCATCGCTCACTGAACACCTAAGAACTCACAGTGGAGAAAAGCCTTATGAGTGTGAAGAATGTGGGAAAGCCTTCATTAGTTCTTCCCATCTTACAGTACATAGAAGAACTCACACTGGAGAGAAACCTTATGAGTGTAAAATATGTGGGAAAGCCTTTATTCGTTTCTCACCTTTTAGTATCCACATGAGAACCCACTCTGAGGAAAAACCATATGAATGTAAGGAATGTGGAAAGGCATTTCGACATTCTTCATACCTTACTATACATGCAAGAATGCACACTGGAGAAAAACCCTTTTTATGTCTGGAGTGTGGAAGAGCTTTCAGTTCTCCCTCATCCTTTGGGAGACATGTGAGAAGCCATACTGGAGAGAAACCATATAAATGTGAGGAATGTGGGAAAGCCTTCTTTAGTTCTTCCTATCTTACAGTACATACAAGAATTCACACTGGAGAGAAACCTTATAAATGTAAAAACTGTGGGAAAGCCTTTATTGGTCCAGCCTACTTTCGAAGACATGTGAAAATTCACACAAGGGACAACATATAAATGTAAGGAGTAAGGGAATCTCTGCAAGACTTTTTCTGAACTAATGCAATTTGTGAAGTCTCATTTTGTGAAGTCTCACACTGTAGAGACACTATAAATGTGAGAAAATAGGAGATTATCACTCATTCTTTTCTTGAAGAGTTGAGGACAACTGAGCGAAACCCTGTGTTTGTAAGCTATATGGTAAAGCCATTTGATTTTGAACATAACTTTTGATTTTGAACATAACTTGTGCCACAGTCTGGCTGGGCTGTGCAAAGTAGCCGGGGTGGGGGTGGGGGGGGGCGACAAGCAACTTGTGAAGTTTGAAACAGCGGGAGCCTCTTTATTCAGAACAGCACAGGTATATATACCCAACTAAATACACACAGCTTATCTCAACATCATCTAATTACAGCAGTCATTAAGGAATCCTTATCATCTTAATAATTAGACACAGCTTAACTCAATTAACATCATCTAGATACAGCAGTCAGTCATTAAGGAATCCTCATCATCTTAATAGTTCGCTGGTGTTACTTGTCAAACCACTCCTGCTGCCAAAGTGCCAGGCGCCTACTTGACTTGGCTGTGGCTCTCAACACTTGTAGAAGAAAATTCAAAATTTGAGCTAGAAGAGAAGATCAGTGCCTCATTAAAGTGGACTTCTAGATTTTCAATGTTTTCTAATAGGAAGATTTAAGGTTATATGTTTCCCTTGTCAGCTTTTATGACATACTTTTGAGTATGAGGCGAGTTTCTTTAGCTGAGATGTAAATGTTATTTCCATTACAAAGTCTTTTGGACTCTTGGGAGATTGTGTGTGTACATGTGTGTATGCTTCTCCTCTGAGACAGGGTCTGGCTATGTTGTCCAGGCCTGTAAATCCTAGAGTTCTGCCTTAGCCTCCTAAGTTTGGGAGTGCAGGCATATATCATTGAGTCTGGCTCAAGTGCATTTTTTTTTTTTTTTTTTTGCAGGCAGGAAAATGATTTTTTTTTTTTTTAATTGTTGTTTAAGTTTGAACTCACAGAATGGGCACCTTCTTCTTCTTTGTCTTCGTCTTTGCCTTCGCCTTCTTCTTCTTCTTTGTAGTCTTCATCTTCGCCTTCATCATCTTCTTCATCTGGATACTGCAAGCTGCCTACCCAATAATTCCCCCCCTTCCCTTTAAACTAAGAGTACCGACTGTTTTTGAGAATATCAGTGTTTACTATTAAAGCTTTTCATGTGTAATAAAAAATTTTAGTAGAAATTAATTAGTACAAAGGCCTTGAAAGAGTATAGTCTCTTCTGATTGCTGTTTTGTGTTTTATTCTTTATGTTTGTTCATGATTGGAATCTTTGTTAATTTAATTTTTTCAAGTTGTAGATGGATCTTTATTTATTTATATGTGGTACTGAGAATCGAACCCAGTGTCTCATACATGCTAGGTAAGCACTTGACTACTGAGCCACAACCCCAGCCCTCATGGCTGGAATTTTGATCTAATGTTTTAAGTTAATAAAGTGTTATATTAATTTGGATATGGCTGTGGACTACATTTCCCTTAATCACTTCTAATCCTAGGTAATAAGTTTTCTAAAATAACTTTGCAAGAAGTTTGAAAGGCTTTAGGGAAGGAGCTAGAATTGCCTGCTTATTAGGACCAAGATATAGGTAGACAGATGAGTAGGGACCTTGTGGGCCCCAGTTTTCAGCTCATTTTTCTGAGTATTGAACACACTGATCCATACTTGCTCAAAACTGAATGTTAAGTACTTGACCTCAATCTCCTCAGGGGCTGCACCTCCACAAACGTCTCCATTAACTCCTGTATCCTGGCCAATCACAGCTTAGATTTCTCTGGCAAGCTCTGTTATTGCCATTTTGGCATTTTTGCTTCTCATTGCAGTTCCTCTGGCACTTTCATTGCCCTGTTAGAGTTGACCAGTTTGCAGAAGGATTGTCATCATGCTCACATTCCATTCCCATCCTTCACTCTACTTATGGGATTGATGTCTATACAAGCCTACCATGGTACCAAAAGTGAGTAGAGCTGTGGTTAATGAAGTTATCCGACTGTAATTGAGGCAAGCCTCAGATAGGTGTCATCCTATTTTGGTAGAGGAGGATTTATATTTGATACCTTCAGACAGGGAAGATTTTACTGCCTTTATGCGAGAAGAGGAATGCTATGAGCTGTTTCAGGTACATTTTGCTTCCTCCTCCCCTTTTTTAAAACATTGTATTTTAAGGGGTGGTGTTGTGGCTCAGTGGTAGAGCATTTGCCTAGCATGTATGAGGCACTGTGTTCAATTCTCAGCATGGCATATAAATAAATGAATAAAATAAAGGTCTATTAACAACTAAAAATATTTTAGAAAATTATATTTTATCTCTTAAAAGCATAAGTATACCACTTCCCTTAATCACTTTTTACTGTTTATCAAGGTATACATACACTAATGTGCAAGTTGTGTACAGCTTGATGTAATTTCACATAGATGTATACATCCTGGTGGACACATTTCCAGGATTCCAGGAAATTCATTCATCTCCTTTCTCAATAATCACTCCACAGAGGAAATAGGATTTTGACTCTTATTACGCTTGATTTGGTGTGCTTTTTCTCACTTTTCAAATAAATGTGAAAACTACAACATGTACTGTTACCTGTTTGGCTTCTTTTACTCAACATAATGTCTGGTTTGTCACTTGGTTGCTCTTATTTCTCTTGGTATGTGCTATATGTGGGGAATGCAATTACTGAATGATAGGATAGACTTCAAGTGTAGTTTTGGTAGATACTTTAGATTTTCAAAAATGTTGGTTCTACCAGTAAGTCCCCAACAGTGCATGTGAGTGTTGGCTATTCCGCATACTGGGCCCACACTTTCTAACTTTAGCTCTTCAGCAGAGTGTGTGTGTTGTTGTTGTTGAAATATGCATTTTCCTGATATGTCATGATTTTGAATACTTTTTGGTGTGCTTATTGGTTATTTGGATATCTTTATTAGGCTACCTTTTGAAGCATTTCACCCATTTTCATTTCCTTTTTTCTTTTGAAGTGTTTCCTTGCTGCTAAAAAGTCCTTGGCTATAACTAAGCTTCAATCTGGATCCTGAGGCTAAAAGATGTGCATTTGTCTGTCTCCTTGTCTTGGCTGTGCATCCTTTTGCATTGTCTTTTCTTCCAGCTGGGATGTTTTCTTCACAGTAGGCTTCAGAAGTTCTGTGCTGCTTTCTTCCCAAGATAATGCTTCAGGGAGAAGAGTGACATCTTTTTTTGAACAGTTCCAATATACTTATCAAAATGGAATCTGAGGAGGGGAGGGGGGATAGTAGAGGATAGGAAAGGCATCAGAATACAACAGACACTAGTATGGCAGTATGTAAAAACGTGGATGTGTAACCCTTGTGATTCTGCAATCTGTATGCGGGGTAAAAATGGGAGTTCATAACCCACTTGAATCAAATGTATGAAATATGATATGTCAAGAGCTATGTAATGTTTTCACCAACTAATAATAAAAAAAAAATGGAATCTGATTATTTTGTCCACCATGGTGAGGGGGATGTTAATAATCTGATTTGTTTAGGACCAGCTCCCATTTTCTCATTGAGAAACTGGGGTTAGAATTTGTACCCCTAAATCATAGAGCCCTGGCAGTTATGATGCACATGGAGAGGAGCGAGAGGCAGCTGTGAGCAGGTGGGGGCTCAAAATAGGGGCAATATTGCACCTTATGCTGACTTCGGGAAATACAAAGTCTGGGAACTTACCCAGTGTTTGTTCCTAGAAATCCTTTTAGAATGTCAGATGCCATATGTCTTTTAGATTGCTAAAAATTGCTCTCAGTCTTTACAGAACATAAAAATAAGTAGAGATCTAAGTGTTCTTTATGAAGTATTTGCCTAGACCAAGATAATGAATATATTTTATGTTTTCTTCTAGACCCTTCATTGTTTGACTTCTTGTATTTAGGTTGGTGATCCATTTCAAGTATTTTTGTTTGTTTGTTTGTTTGATAGGGTGTGAGGTAGGATGCAGGTGTATGTGTACAGATTTATCCACTAGATCATGTTTTCCCTCTGCTTAGGTAGGCAATCTGTCTTTTGGTTTGTTTGTCTTTCCTTGCAGCAGCACCATACTATCTTAATTTGTATTGCTTTGTAGTATTTTTGGAAATCTAATAATAAATTCTCATTTTAGAATTCATTAATTTTTATAAAAATATTCAGGGTCCATTTTATAGAATAACCTAAGGAAAATTGACATCTTTACAGAATTGCATCTTTCAATTGATGAACATGATGCAACAATCCATTTACCTTGGTTGTCTTTAACTTTTCTGAAGGCGTTTTGTAGTTTAATTGTAGAGGTCTTGAATGCCTTTGTTTAATTTATTTCTAGATACGTGGTGTGTTTTGCTTTGTAAATGTTTTTATTTTTAATTTTTGGATTAGTACATACCTTTGCAATATCTTTTCCTTACATCAGCTTTAAAGCTAGTGACATAAATTTAACTCACTCAAGTAATTCTCACCAGGTTTCTAAACCTTTTATTTATTTTTCTTGTCTTATTTAATGAAAAGAGGTCATGAAATTGAATATCTTTTCCTTGTTCCTGTATGAAAGAGTATTCAACATCTCACCATTAAATATAATGCTACTTGTAAATTTTCATAGATAACTTTTATCAAATTAAGGGAATTCTGTTTTGTTCCTGGATTGTCAAATGTTTTTAAAAATCACAAATTGATATTGGATTTTATCCAGTGCCTTTTCTGCATGTATCAGGGCCTTTAAAAAATCCTTAATTCTAACAAAGTGAACTATACATTCTTTGATTTTCAGTTGGTAAAACAACATGTATTACTGGAATAAATTAAACTTGTACATATTGGTCTATTAGCCTTTTCATTTTGCTAGGTTCAACATGCTACTTTAAAAAATCATGTCTCTATTTATATTGGTGTTTGTTTTATGATTTATCAAAATATATATATGATTTTTTTCTTGGTTTTTGTTCTTGTTTTTGGTACTGGGGATTGAACCCAGGGGAACTCTATCACTGAGGCACATATCCAGCCCTTTTTATTTTGAGACGGGTCTTGCTAAGTTGCTCAGGCTGGCCTTGAACTTACAATTCTTTCTCAGGCTCCCAAGTTGCTGGAATTACAGGTGTGTGCCCCTGTGCCTGGCTTGCCCCTCTTTTTTTTTTTTTTTCCTTTTTCTTTATTTTATTCTTCTTTAACCTCCTGTTGACCCAGTATTCTAGTTTCTTGCAAGAAAAACAAAAACAAAAAAAGAAAACAACAACAACAACAACAAAAAACAACAACAACAACAACAACAAAAAAACATCTTTTGGAATCATGCCCCTGGTTATTGGAAATTATTGGACTTTGCCTTACCCCAGAAAACCAATATAAGTTTCCACATCTTGCCTTGGTGAAACAGCCTAATTCCTCAATCAGTGCTGTCCACCTTTGGTGAAGCCGTAATTAAAGGCTTGCCTCTGAGTGCCCACAATATTGGACTTGGTCTCATTCCTGTTTCCAAGCCAGAAGATCCTGTCTCCAATAACAAAGGCAGCCCCTTGTCCACCCAGGCTGGTATTTAACTGGATCATGCCCAGTTCTCACACTTCCAAAATTGAAGCTGGTGGTAATGAAGGTGGAAAAATTAGTTCATCCCATAGGTGTCTGGTGCTGAAGAAGTTCTAGAGCCTCATCTGTAAGTACTGGCCTCACAATAGCTGTACTGCCTGAGACTGGGTGACTGGTGATAGAAATGGACTCCAAGACTGACACTAAGCTGGGTCACATCTGAGTCTCACATCCAGAAGACAGATACAATTTTGGGGAGGCTGGTGATGATATAGGCTGAATGATGTAGTCTATCCCAGGTGGCATGCAGGAATCTGCCTGATGCTGGTTCATGTCTAGAGGATCCATCTGTGAGCTCGGGCCTACACAGGGGCCTTGGTCTCTAATCTGCTCAGTCTCATAGTTGCAGGCCTGGCACTGAGCTCCAAGACAAAGACCCGTACTAGCTTTCATGACCTGCTCTCCTGTGGAGGTAGTCCTGCTCCTCAGCTGCCCACTCTTCGAGGAAGTGTGATGGAGAAGTTCTGTGCACTGGCAAACATGGTTGCAGCAGCTCACTCAGCTAGTATTGGAGGTTGTGGGACTGTGCATGCTCATAGGTGGTGGTTTTTTTTTTTTTTTTTTTTTTTCCTTACTGGGGATTTAACTCAGGAAACTTAACAACTGAGCCAATCTCCAGACTTTAAAAATTCTTTTTTTTTTTTAGTTGTAGATGCACACAATATCTCTATTTATTTTTATGTGGTGCTGAGATTCAAACCCAGTGCCTCACGCATGCAAGGCAACTGATCTACCACTGATCTACAACCCCAGTCCCCATCCGTTTTATTTTATTTTATTTTTTATTTAGAGACAGAGTCTTGGCTGAGTTGCTGAGGATGCTTTGAACTCTCAAGCCTCCTGCCTCAGCCTTCCGAATTCCTGGGATTACAAGGTTTACAGGCTGTGCCACCTGCCAGCATGGCAGCTGGTTTCACCCAGGCCTGGTAAAGGGTTTGAAATCTAAGGCCTAGACTTATTTCTTTCTCCCTTGCCTAGGTGGAAAGTGTCTCTCCATGCTGAGCTGCTTAGAGATGGAGCAGGATGGCAACTCTTTTTGTATCCTCTTCAAACATCTTTTCTTTTTGTTCTACTAACAGCAGGAACTATGGTCTCCCAACTGGTTTCCTTAACATCCCCTGCCTTCCTACTTGGGAAGGAACCCAGGCTAGGCAAATGCTCTACTACTGAGCCAAATCCCCAGCCCTTTTTGGAAATTATTTATTTATTTAGGTACTTAGGACTTAACTCAGGGGCACTCGACCAATGAGCCACATCCAAAAAGAGGCCTATTTTTGAATTTTACTTAGAGACAGCTTCTCACTGAGGTGCTTAGGGCCTTGCCCTTGCTGAGGCTGGCTTTGAACTCGTGATCCTCCTGCCTAAGCCTCCTGAGCTGCTGGGATTACAGGTGTGTGCCAGGTTGGAAGTTTTTATCTTAAGACAAGGTGTTACTAAGTTGCCCAGACTGGTTTTGACCTTCTGGCCTCAGCCTACCAGGGGTGCATTGGTTTCCTCAGCTCTTGCGAAGGTAGCTGAGAGCGCGCATAGCTCTTCAACTTGTATCTGAGCGTTTCTCCAGTAGAGGACAGTCGCCATCATGCTCTGCTTTTCCAAACGACCTGATTATTCTTTCTTTACCCTTAGCCCCTGCAAAAACCATCATTTCCCGACAGCACCCAAGCAGGCCTTAACCCTGCTGGGATGTACCACCCCAAATCCCAGCCCCCGAGGCCCCGCCCCTTGCTTGGTGTGCCCCGCCTCCCGCATCCAGAAACGGGAAGCGGAAGTAAGCCTCTACACCTGTGCTTTGGGGTCTCTCGGTCAGGTGGTTCCTCATGGGCGCTTCTCCTTTACAAGGGGTTCCCTCAGTAGGTTTCCCAGCCGTCCTGGGGCGCATCCCCGGCTGGAAGCCCGGGTTTCCCTCAGCCGCGTGGCCCTAGAACCAGGTGGGCTCCTCCCACCCCTGGCTCCCTGGTGGAGGCATCGGGGACTCTGGGCTGCGCCTTTGGCTGGCGCATTTCCCATAGGCGGGAGCTGGAGAGCCCTGAGGCATTTCTGGTCTCCACCTGCGGCCTCTCCACCTAGAGCGGAAGCCAGGCTGGCATGGGGGTTCGGGACAGGAGCCTGGAGATGGTCTCCGCGGGGTCCCTTCCTTTCTAGCAGGCTAAATTGTAGTCGCCCAGCCGCCTATGTTGAAATAGATTTGTCACTGTGTCATGAACAGGGGGATGGACCAGACAATCTTTTTTCTATTAATGCTGTGAATTTTAACTAACCAGTGATTAAATGTCCTTGTTTGTTTTGTGGTGCTGGAGACCGAGCCAAGGGCCTCACCCATGCTCAGGGATGTTCTACCCAGAGCTACGTCCCCAGCATTTTTTTTTTTTTTTTAACTTATTTTTAAATTTTGAGACTCGGTTCTTGGTGGCCAGGCTGGCCTGCAATTTGTGATCTTCCTGCTTCAGCCTTCCTAGTAGCTGGGTTTAGAGGTGTGCAGCACTGTGCTTGGCACTTCAGGAATTTTCTATTTGGTGCTTTATTTCCCATTGTTAGCACAAAAAGACTAGGCCGGATGCAAACTATGATCATTTCAGTATTTTTTTTTTTTAATTTAAAATATGTTTTTAGTTGTAGATGAACACAGTGTCTTATTTATTTTTATGTGGTGCTGAGGATTGAACCCAGTGCCTCACACATGGCAAGGCAAGCACTTGACCACTCAGCGCCATCCCAGCTCTCATCAGCTTTTTATTCAGGAATGGTATTATACCTCCAGTGGACTCACTGTCCTGGTGAAATGAGCCACAGGCCAAAGGAGTTGGGCTTAAATAGGATATACTGAGAGGTGATTTAGTGAGCATGTCAGTTTGGGCACTCAGGAATTTTGAGTTTTGGGGTTGAGGGGTCTGTGGCCAGCACCTGGAGAGGATTCATCTTGAAAGAGATTAAAAGCTTCCCAGAGATTATCATTTTAGGTTTGATGAAACACTTTCTCCCCACTTGTGGCCCACGTCTGAAAAGGATTTATCTTTCAAGAGATGAAGGCTATCAATGTATGGCTTTCTTTTTCACTCCCTTTTCCCAGGCTGCACTATCTTGGGGTTTTTCATTTTCCATAACTAACAGCCATGACTGCATGTGGTAGGGTGAGCACAAATATTACCCAAGTAAAATGATATTAAGGAGTAGTTGGTGTGGGTATTAAGAAAAATGTCCTTGCCCAAGGCCAATGGCTTGGAAGAGGAGCTTAGAGATAGCACATTTGAATAAAGTCTTTCCTCTGAAACTATAGTGCCCAACAGTGTTATAGGTTAAATCCGATAATAGGGAAAAAGAACTCTAATAATAATTGTAATAATTGTAAGGCATGTGTCCAGAAATATACTCAGGCATTTAGGCTTTGAAGACAAATAAACTTGTCATACTCTGGCTTAGCAGTTTTGTAATAGTAATCCTCCTGCCTCAGCCTCCCAAGTAACTGGGGTTATAGGTGTGTACCACTGTGTCTGGCTTTCTAGCTGTTTTATGTATTTATTTAAAAGGAATATATGTCGTTCAATTGAATGTGAACGTGATTACAAAGGTCTCAGAGAAAAGAGGTTCCAGATTTACATACTTGGCTCCACAGATTAGAATTCATTCATCCATCCTTTAACAGTTTTCATTCATCAGATATTCAAAGGTTCATATGTTCTAGGCTGTGAGGAACAACAAATTCTGGGTCTTGCTATCACAATGTGTCTTGTGATGGGTATTGCCTAGCTGTTTTAGAACACAGGTTGGCCATCTGTTTCTTTATTGGATCATATAGGAAATATTTTAGGTTTTGAAGGCCATAGAATTTCTATTGCAAGGACATTCTCATTTTAGTACCAAAGCACCAAGGGAAAGCTTATAAAGAAATGTTTTGTTGTGTTCCAGTCAAACTGATGTACACAAATAGAGGACTGATTAGCTCATGCCTATTTTGCCAAATCCTGGCCTAGAATAAAGAAAATTTGCTACTTGTGGGCCTGCCATAAAGATGTGCTGTGCAGGCTCATAGGCCTCTCAGGTTTGTGAGGGGGAAAAAGGGGAAAATTCCTTTTCCCTCAGTGTGTTTTTATTCATTAAAACCTCATCATGTACCTGTAATGCCAACTACTTGGAAGACTGAGGCAGGAGGTTCTGAATTTAAGGGCATAGGAAATTTAGGAAGACCCTGTCTCAAATTAAAATATGAAAAGGGCTGGGGATATAGCTCAGGA